TAAGACTAATGACTGGTTTTCATTCAGACATAATGCTTTCTTCTGGTAAAACTCGTTTCCCGGTGGCACAGAATCATAGAGGTCTGCTTTCAATTGCTGAGGTGCCGATTTGGATTCCCCTGGATGGCAAGCTTTACCTTATGCAGGAATTCCATAGAGTAACGAATTTGCCACGAGTTGAGTCATACCGCAGTTGCTCAGTCCTCAGAGTGTTGAACTAAGAACTGAGTGGTCCCGGATTTGAGCTCTCGTCGGAATGACTCTCCTTTCTCATAGGTCGATAAATTTGTATCAGTGTGTGAAAAAAACAATGGTCTGCGCCACACCAGCAGCTCCATGAAAAGAACAGTCCCAGAATGGTCCCGTCGTGAAAATGTAAGAAGAATCGATATCGTAACGGTTGCAAACTTCCCTTTCCTTTCCCATGCTTTCTTCTGGGAAAAATACATAAATGAAAACGAAACTACTTTGGTCGCTTTTTGGGAAGTCATAGTGGCTGTCTGAAGAAGATGGTATCACTATGCTTGATTCCGGAATTGAGATCTGTAGAGAAGGAGAAAGAGAGAGAAAGAGAGTTAGAGAATGGCTAGAACAGCGTTAGACAGAACGCATCGTATATTGGATGAACTTTTGAAATATGAAATATCGCAGAGGAATTTATCGCATACCCTTTGGTTATATCTGCCTTCTACCTCTGCAAAAAGAATAAATTGTTATAACATGAAGAGCGTCAATCTTAGGTACATCCTGCCTCGAATGTATTAAGCCAGCGACTTGCTCCCCGCTTCTCAGTTGGTTGCACAGAGAGTATTAATTCCTCTGCTCAATGAGAATTGATGGATTTTTAATAAATAATTTTTTCACATTAAATCGAACCCGGTATAGAACGTGTAAACTAACATTATTACTCACTGCCTCATCTTCTTTACCTGCAGTTGCGACAAAATAACCGAACTAAGCAACATCGTTTTTCTATCACAAGGTTAAGCATTTTTAGACTATCGGAATTCATTTCAGACTTCGAACTGCATTCGCATCAGATTTTCTGCTTCATATCTGATTGCTGAAACGGTTTTGCAGCGGGTGTTTGCAGATTTTATCGGCATTGGAATGAAAGCTTTGATCTGCTTGAGCTTTCGGTGGGAAAGAATCAGCAGAGCAGATGCCGCTTAAGTGGTTTCATCGAGGTTAGAAAGTCATTATAGATTTGCATTTTCTTACTTCTGTGCTTATGTGTTTAAATAAAATCGTGGTAGTTATTTTAATTTGCAACATTATGGCCAACATGTTGACGATTTACGCCACCTTCGCTACTCTTCACACACTAATGAAAAGGATTTCGAAAATTTTCGCAAATTTCAGCCTCTCTATTATTAACTCCTGCAAACCTACCGAAATAAAGCAAAGTTTTTCTAGAAGAACTGTCAATCACCATTCAGCCTATCATTGCAGAGATAGT